CTAGAGAGGTGCACATAAAACTAAGTCCAGCCTAAAAACCTGACTGATCATAATAACATTGTTATTGACAAATTTACCATCAATCGACCCTCAATGAAATTGACACCCCTGCTCTATACAGTTGTGCTACTGCCTTATGCAGGGGTGGGCAACTATGGCCCTTTTATGACTTGTGGACTTCAACTCCCAAAATTCCTGAGCTAGCATGGCTTGCTCAGGAATTCTGGGAGTTGAAGTCCATAATTCATAAAAGGGCCATAGTTGCCCACCCCTGGCCTTATGGCTTATATGCAGCCTTATATGATTAATGACACATGCCAAGTTCAGTGATAGCCTAAGTGGATTAGGCCCTCACATTTGACCTACACATTTTCTACTAATCTAGGCCACACTTGCTTCTAGTTTTATTATATTTTTATTGGTCTCTTTTTTTATAGTGCTTAAGAAATGCAATGTCTCATTCGGAGCCCAAAGATTTGGATAAAGCATTTCCTTAACGCATTCTCCTACTTTAGGTGACTTTGATCGCAACTCATGGGAAAAGGCTCATAAGAAAAAGAACAGGAAGTGGACATGTTCCAGACTGAGACAAAGACAACATGCAGTAGGTTGTCAGCAAACACCCTTAAAGATCTCGGGACAGCTGCGTCTCCACCCTCACAATGGTTCAGAAGCCCGCTTTTAAAGGATTTGCATAAATTTGAGAAAACAGCAATTCAGGGAGAGGAAAAAAAAAAAAAACACCAGTTCCTGCCCAGTCACGGACTTGTCCGTAGGCACAGCCAACTAAGGAAGCTCTTCTTATCTCTTGGGATATCTGATGCAAGCTGTTTCTGCGCAAGCCAACTCAATGCAAACAGATGGAAAGAGGAGGATTTTCAAAATAGTCCAGCTTTAAGAAGGGCCACTTCACATGACAAGGTTTTTTTTTTTTTTTGCAAGCTATGCCCTTTTTTCTTATGCTTGGAGAGGAAAAAACAAACAAACCCTGCATCAGTACAGCTGTTACTTCACTATGGGGGAGCTTTCTAGCATTTCGAAGGTCACAACAGTTAGAGAGGACTGAGAAAATATCTACGGACCCCTCACCATCCTGGACATAAACTTCTCCCCTCAAGACCCCGCTGTAGAGCACTGCATGCCAAAACAACCGGACACAAAGACAGTTTTTTGCCCCCATGCCATCGTTTTGCTAAACACTTAATTCCCACAGCACTGTCTTATGCCCAAGGATATCTAACCATGTGGCAGGACTGTATTACTGTAATTCTTCTCACTTTTCCTATTACCTAAGCCTATTGTTCTGACCCAAGCCTTGTTCAAATCAAACAAACACGAATTGTTCATAAAAGCAAACCTCTTTTAATGCGGTGCTGTGAATTCAGTGCATTCCCAGCCAAGAAACATTTAAACCTATTTGTCTGATACCAAAAGCAAGCCCTTTCAAGGTTGCAAAAGGCTGCCAAGAACAGAAGACTAATTACTGATTAAATATTCACCAACAAAAGTTTCAAAAACAAACCAGAATAAGCTTCAATGAGGACTCTGAGTCTAAAGAACTCCTTTGCTTCCTGCAAAGAACACATCCCCAAGGGCTGGTTTTTATCCCTTATGGGAGGGGCCATCACATTCCAGCCTTACTCCCGAGTCGCCCTTGCTGCTTCAGCTGCTTTTTCCTTTGAGCAGCCCTGTGTGCAGGCGCACTGGGCACAGGCTCCCTGGGGTCCTCTGTATCACTGTTGCCAGACTGTACAAGCTCTGCAGGCAGCTCCCTACTCTTCAATAGTCCTGGCCCCATCCCTGCATCACACTCAGGCCCCTCGTCCGAGTCCTCGCTCTTAGAGACCTCAGCCATCCGCACTTGCTGCTGGCAAATCACAACACCTATTGGTATCTTATGACTATCACTATATTGGTTCTATCTTATGATTTATAAAGGTATCATATGATTTATGACTTATCACTTTGTTGCTTCTGTGTATAGTGAGAGCTTCTGCGCCAAAGACAAATTCCTTGTGCGTCCAATCACACTTTGCCAATAAAGAATATTCTATTCTATTAACGTTTGCTCCCATGCAACATATAATAAACACTGTTTTCATGAAATATAAACAATTTAAGTGTATTTATGTCAGGGTTAAATATATATCCTGCCCCTATGCCCAATGCAACGTGAAGGAAATAGTATCAAGCTGTATATTGAATAGGCTTTGTGACAATAATTCAGCTTTTCTTTAATCAGAACCAACCTTTAAGTTTCCACAGACTTATTTTAAAAAGCTCTGAGGACTGGTATGAAGCAACATGGTATGTCCAGCTCAGAATCTGATTCAAGGCTGATATGAAGCAAGTGAACATCCAGCTCAGAATCTAATTTAAATTAATTTAAAGTCGAAGCAGCCAATCTGTAGTTCCCATTAAGAGTTGGTTTCAACTCTTTAATACTTAGAAATGTCAAATTCAGGGGTGGAGTAGAGGGGTGAGCTGGCCTTCATTCCTTGCTAGGTGGGCCCTCCCTGCAATATTCATTCTGCATATTTTATTTTTTTGTATTTTATCATCCAATATCTCAGCCGCAATTAAGCTGGCTGGAGAATTCTGGGAGTTGAAGTCCACAAGTCTTAAAGTTGCCAAGTTTGGAGACCTCTGGTATGAACTCAGCTTTTGCTCAAGAGCTCTGAAGACAATGCAGCACCAGAGAGAAAAAGACAGCAGCATCCATTATGTTGTGGTTATGTCCACGTAAGACTTTTCATCAGGGCAATTCAACTAGCAGTTGCACTGGCATTACATGGGGGTGCTATTGATCAAATCCAGTATTTATTTATATGATCAAAGAACAGGAAATCCTCCAAGACAACCTAACCCAAAACAAGGGAATGGGGTCACAGGAAAATGCACATTAACAACACATAAAGTAAACACAGTCCAATAAACTCAGCAGTTACCATCCTGGGGTAAAATGTTCGTCTGCTGCTATTCGTTTAGTCGTTCATACATGGCTGCATTCATCTGATACACTGAATTGGGAGGGTGGGAATCTCCAAGATTAAGCAGTTGCACTAGCATAATGGATAACAGTGGGCCCTATTTATTTAGCGGCACCTATTTATCATTAAGTGTTGTACCTTATGATTCTTGACTCTTGATGAATGTATCTTTTCTTTTATGCATACTGAGAGTATTTACACCAAGACAAATTCCTTGTGTATCCAATCACGCTTGGCCAATAAAGAATTCTATTCTATTCTATTCTATTCTATTCTATTCTATTCTATTCTAT